GGGGGAGGAGGGTGTGCGATGGACTTATCACCAAGTGGTGCACCCTGGGTAACGTAAACTCATCGGCAAAAGGTCCTTTAACCGGCAGTTGACTTCTCACTTCAAACTACCATCACCCCACTGTAAGCCATTTTCGACCACTTTCACAGTACTCTCCTTACCTTTTTCTCCCTACCATTGTGTCTGTCTCTTTTACATCTGTGATTCACTCTTCTGTTCCGCCTTTCGACTTTGTGCGCCTTTGACATTTCTCTCCTCTGTGAAATCCGAGGTCATCTAAGGAGCAAATTAAAACTATAAAAATGGCTGTCATTTGATATAAATAAATATGTGCATACTCCTGCATTATATGGGTTGAATTTGGGCCTGCAGATTGGCCATTTGGTTTCGAACTTGAATTTTGAGATCCAAATTAAGCTGTCATTATTCCATTTTGGCAAACCATCTTAAAGAGAAGTTTGTGCGACCTTTTCTGATTCAGATAAGCAATGAGCTCATATATTGTTTCTTTGCTAAATTGAGAAAATCAATCTTTCTGTTGCAGATTCTCAACTCACAACAATTTAAATTATTCGATAGAAATCAAATCATGTTTGCTCAGACACGTGTCCACCTTTTACACTCACTTTTTCATCCGAAAAATGCATCTAAATAATGTATCAGCGTCAAAAAATGAAGGCTTCAGCAGACTACAACCTGCTACTAAATACAAGGATCGCTAACCTTATACTACCCGCTACACCACTTGCACACATTTTATATTACTATTCTCACTGCGAGTTTCTAAATAGACATTGACCTCTGAACGCCCTTTAGCACATTATGAGATTAGAAGTCTGTGCATAAAAATTCACCAAGATGTGAGGTAATGTGAAAACATAGCACGCTTGATTATAAAAATGAATCATATTATAAAGTTTTCAGGGATCTTTCTCACAAAATCGTCTATATAAAATGGTATCTGGAAAGTAGGTAGGCATTTTTAAGTTGGAGGGGGATATTCATAGAAAGGGAAGATGAATTCAAGTGGTTGACCTCTACCTCCATCAACTCGTATTCCAAAGGCAGCCTCAAAACCAGCTCGACCGCATTCGATAGTCAGCGGTTGACGGGAAACAAAGTATGTAAAGACAAGCAGACTGAATCCGAATAAAAGCGAGGCGAAAATACGTCTCCTTCTTCTTTGACGCGCCTCCTGCAATGTGGAGTCAATTAAAGATACCCTCGACAGTTGACAACCGTTTCTAAAAGTGGTTAGAGAGAGAAATATTTTAGTTGAGATTACAATATTTACAAAAAAAATTGGAATTTACCAAAAGTTACTTTGAAGATAAAAAAACTCTTTTATGTTTTTAAATCCCATTAGAAATCGAATTTTCAAGAAAAAACGATCAACTTACGAAAATTCCGACGAGTTTTCGTTCGCTCCGGGTTGCTATGAAATAGAAAAAGAAGTCGCATAACAGTTGTGGATCTGAGAAATATTTGAGTGAAGTTCTTTACTTGGGATCAACGAAGTAAAGAAAAAAATTATGATCAATTGATGCAAAGAATTACCAAAAGATTAGAATGCTGAGCCCAATTGTATTTTTTTGCTGTTACTATTGGCTTTAGTTGCTAAAGTTTCGGATGATTGGAAGACTCAGGATGTCATTGAAACGCCTTGCACTGGTGTTAAATGTAAGAAGTGTGAACCCTTAAGCGTTGCCTCTACTCTATCAATGACAGGGCAATATCAAAGACAATGGGGTAATTCCATTGGGTCTCAGGTGTACGGTTCTTATTCCCAACAATCTTTGTCTGATAGATAGAATATATTTTGATTATTTAAAAAGTCTCATCCATTATTTGAGCTAGTCCTTTACCTCTAACTTGCTTCGAGATAAGTATAAATAGATGAGAAGATTGAGATCAACCACCCCCCCCCCCCCAAGATCATCACTACCATTCGATTCTAAGCAGCCGCTATCTTCCTGGAGTATTCTCGTAGATAAGAGTTAATAACTGCCAAAATTTGTGTTAAATTTTTAGGAGGTTGCTTATCTAAATATGGGAGATTCTTTAAAAAGTTTAAGAATTGCACCAAAAGAGCAAAATACATCAACTGTCAAAACACCTCAAACATCAATGATTTGATGACTACCTTCGTAAAACAAAGCTCTCTCTCCCTCTCTCTATTCATTCTTACGTTCATTATAACCAAGTTCTATTCCCACCGTCAATTCAAACAAAGCGAATCGACTCGAGAATATTGATCCATAAACGGATAAATCAATGCGCACCAAGTATTTGAGCGCGTTGTACATAGCATGGATTTGGGTAAACTTTTTGGCAGAATGGATTAAAGATAATTTAACCCGAAAGCGAAGAATACAATTATCGAAATAGAAAAAAAGAGTTCAAATGTGGAAGAAAAGTGCTCGATTATCTATTCAATACTCATATACATACAAGTATATAGTAAATAAGAGAGACTAGCATAACATAGTTCAGAGCCTATGTGATACACAAGTTACATAAACTTCTGTTTCATAAAAACTGTATACATAATGCCTGGTTATACGCTCGCAGTAGTTTATTAAGACCAATCAGTCGACTTAATGCAAGTAATGAAAGACAGAGAAAAGGAGAACAAAGGAAATGGAATTAGGAGTTAGTTGCCCGTGTCTTCATTCTGCTTCTGTTCAGTCTGCTCTAACCGACGTCTATATCGACGCCTAGCTATATCACTAGCCGTGGGATATTGACGATATCCCGATCTTGACGGAAGAACAGGAAGAGTGGATAAGAGATCAGCACAGGAAGTATAGTAAGCCGGATGTTTGGGGCCACCTTTCGATCTTGGTGATTCTGATGGAGAATTTTGGGCATGCAGACTCCACCCTCTTCGCCAGCCGCGACTACTTCGTAATCGACGTGGCGATATTGATCGGCCTAGAAGAAGAGGGGGTATAGGTGGTGTGGAGACAATGGTATTGGAAGAAAGCGAACCCTCATCATCCAAATTTTCCAACTCCCCCTCCTCACCCAGTCTGATATCTGTAAAAGGGGCTAATGCGAAGTTACGAAGAGCTGATGAAGGGAATTGAGGGAACTCCTTTTCGCGTATATTGATTAAAGGGGTAGATCGACCTAGTCGTCGACTTATGCGACCCGCACGCTGTTGAATGGGTCTGAAAGAGAGACGTGGGGGACTGGGGGATGAAGCAAGGTGACGTTGTTGTTCCAGAACACTGGTTGGAGAATACCAGAGCCATTCGAGAGAACCAACAACTGGAGAGGGGTCGTTAGGTAGTTGGATCGAAAGAGGAGAGGGACCTCGACGCTGATATATTACAGAGGTACTTTGAGCGTTTCGAAGGGGATGTTGAGAACGAGGACTAGTTCTCAAATGGAGAGTTGAATGTCCCTGTCATAAGAGATATTCAAATGCCTTTCTGGCATCATTCATATTGGTTTATTGCTACAACATTGAAGTGACTTTGAAACAACGATTACGAAGACGACAAAGAGGGCACGACGCGGAAGAAAATCGATTATTTACGCATCCAAAAATAGGATAAAAAGTGAATTGGGTAGCTAGGCTCAGCTGTCAAGTATGACGATTCGAAGAAAGCGTTTATTTCAATTAGGTAACTATGCCTTAAACATACATTCATTTCTCCGTATTTCTATTTTTGACAATAATAATGACTTCCGACGCTTTATGCCACCATTCAGCACGAAAAAAGTCTGAATTTTTAACCCTATCATTATTAATTGTTACTATTATTGCTGATACATGTTTGATCTCTGACCTATACATAATGCCGTCAAATTAATTTTGTTAAAATGAAATCATAGAAAATGAGTGACACTTTGATGCATATTTTCAAAAAATGAAATTTTTTGTTCAATTCGTTCAAAATCCATTCATCAATTTTAAATGGGATCGATGGTATCAGAAAATAGGCATTTAGAAATGCATTAATTTAGAATGAACGGAAATAATGGTCTATTTTATCTTGAATAAGGAATTCCATGAAGTGGAAAGAAGCATCATAGACCAATGCGTACTAAAATTTATGCAAGCAAAGAATGAAGCTTACGAGCGTAAAATACTGTGACCGCGTGACGCGAAAATTAGAAACAGCAAAAAAGTGTAAATAAATCGAGAGAATATGAACAGAGTAATTTTAGGAAAATCGGTGCGAATACAGACACAAACGCACTTTGGGGAAACACGACTAGGTACGTTAATTAATCTATAAAATTAATACAAATGTGGCGCACCGGTTGTATACAGAGAAATGATCACGAATTCACAACAAATTCATAATGTCATTACGAATTATTACTTTTTTGGTTTTCTTCAAAAATCATTATCCCAATCGATAGAAGAAAGTGTAACTTCAATAGAAATGACAATACGGCAACAGTGAGAGTGCACGCAAACAATAACAATTGCCCTCGGCAGTATAACTTCCGCTCAAATGAAAAAAAAGCAATTTCTGGGTACAAATATTTATTGCGATCTCTATGCAAGCAGCAGTAGTAGTTGGAGAGCAAAACACAATTATTGACAAACCGAATTTCCTCCAAAATGCATCCATCTCATTGAAATCTTTTAATACAACAACAATAACCCTTTGAGATAGTCTTCTTTCTCTTCTAAAAAATTCCCCCCCCCCCCCACCTGTTAATTTAATTTTATTTAGAATTTCCGTTATTCACAATGAGACCCAATTTCATGACGAGTTTCAACCCACTGTCTCTACTTATTTTCACTTTGCAGATCTTCACACCATATAAACAACTCTGTACATTGGTAGGCGGTAGCCACCATCCTGACGTCTATTACACCACTTGTTCATCGCAATTTTCTTTCTTTTGATTTAAGAACTTGGCTCATTCTACCTGATAGAAGTAGTTTTTCTTGCGACTGAAGCTTCTAAACACATTTTTTAAAACCCTTAAACTCCGGGCATATCCATTAGTTAGAAAAGTGACCTATAAACGAGTTTTTAAAGCTAAAGAAGGCAAAAAATGCACACTGCGATTTTGAGTTCTTGTAGCACGGTCATTCTACATGACAATAAAATATTTGGATCCTACCTATACAAAGAGTTGTTATGGTATCGGTAAAGTAAAAAAGTCATAGATACCTACGGAGTCAAGGCAGAATGAGCATAGAGGCAACATCTTACTGATAAAAGATATCTTTTTTATCTTATCCAAGATAAAAAAGATAACTTATAATCTCGTCATAAATTAAATAAGAACGAAACCTAAAAGGACAACGAATAAGCCGTAAAAAGCTGATGGTTGACAAAACTTGAACAACACTAAACGAAATGTGAGCATGCAACTTACCCTTGGTATTCTTTGAACCATCTTTTCTAAATCTTCCTGTACTTCTGTCTTCACTTGTGTAGCATCTTTAGCCTGTCGTACAAAATGCCCATGCAGCTCTACTCTCTTACCGATACGTCGAACCAAAGTGTCCAGCCTATGACTCAATTCACCAATGGGATCACTTCCATCACCTCCACCGCCAATGTCTGTTGAAGACGGAAGACCTAGGAGATTCTGCCTCCAGTTGGCCAATTCATCAATGACATCTCGTTTGGCGAGCAGCTCGGCACGGAGTTGATTTAGTGAAGAAGTGCCCAAATCAAGAGTTTCCAAGCCTTTTCCTGCAAAGAGGCCACTAACGGCAGACTCCTTAATTTCAAGCCAATCGCCAACCTCGGCCTCGCAGAGTAACTGCTGATGCCAGAGAGACTTCCAGTTATTTATTTGTTCGCAAAGGGCTTTCATCTACAAAGAATGGCGCGGAGTAATTAGATGCCATTGCGCTTAATAAGTCTGCAGCATCTGTGTCAGCTTAAAATGGCATTAAATAATTAAGTAGGGAATATTAAACTTGTAAATGTAAATGGTTCACATTGAGCTGAATTCAAGGAGAAGTCACTGTATTAACGGAATAGAACAGCACATATGTTTTATATAGAGAGTATATTAGTGGCAGTCTTTCGAATTTAAAAGAAGTTAGTATCCTATCTTATCGCCTAGTTGTGTCCTAGAAACACACCCTTCCCCCCCCCCCCCCCCCCCCCCCCCCCCCCTCCCCCTCTCCACCACCACCACCATTTATAATCTGCCTCTTGAAATACTATGAAATAGGCCGACAAACAACACCTTTCTATACTATCCCAAGAAAACCCATTCAAACACACTTTCAAATTCTAACGACATGGGGTGGTTGATACATAATCCTCCCAGTTTCTACAGTCAGTAGCCTAACACCGTCGATATAAAACAATCAATAGGATGTGATAATTGTGTGTCACCTCAAGACGAAGAATTTCCAATTAAGCAGGCAAAGGATAAGAGACTAAGCTCGTGTAAGGGTTTATTGTGGAATGGAATACAATTGGATTTACCTTTTTCACCTGAATTGCACAATTTTTCTTGAGATTTTCTGCTCGATTTCTAATTTTACTACCACTGGTCTGAGGTTCATCAGCACTAACTGACGCTGAAATAACATCACTATCGTCCGCACCAGCCTTTTGGAGACGCTGTTGCACTGTGGAAGGTGTTTGAACTGGTGTCCAAGATGAAGTCACCTTGTTGATTGCACTTTCAAGTTCAAATCGGCGTTTCTTAATTTAAGAGAAATAGAGGCAAATCAGGGATTTTTTCAACTAATTACTAGTTGGATACGTGATAAACTTTCGCTTTAGTTATCGCTTAATTCCATTTGTTTAAAATAATCATTTGCCCTTTTAAAAAGCTACAGCACTACTCAGCCACCCCCCACCCCCGCCCCCCCTACCTCCAAAAAAAGAAGAGGAGGATTTGTAGATCAGGCGGTCGTTCATTTATGAAGAAATTAAATTAACTTTTAGTGAACAGAAAGGCCCGTACATGTCTTGCCTATCCACAAACTGATAATTTTGTGAAACGAAAATATCCAATTAGGCTTGCCAGCAATAATAAATTGTTTATTTCCAAACTTCATTTAGTTGGCTAAGCTAACTTATTTAAAAATATGGCAAGCTGGTTTATGGCAAAAAGTACTTTGGGAAATGGGGTGTGCGATAGACTTACCTCCACGTGGTGGACACAGGACAACGTATACTCATGCGGCAAAAATGTCTACAAACCGTCAGTTAACTTCTGACTTCAAACTACTATGACCCCACTGTACGTCATATTCCACCACCTCCACGATACTCACCTTACCTTTTTCTCTGCCATTGTCTCTGGTCTACCTCTTTTACGTTTCTGAATCAGTTTTCTGTGCCCCTCTTTCTTGCTCTCTCTCTCGACTTTTTGAGACTTTATCTGTTCCTTCCCCTCTGTGAATCTCGGAGTCAACTAAAGGGCTAGTGATAACTATCATGAAGCCTGCCATTTGACATAAATAAACTTAGGGAAAAATACCATTTGCGGTAGATTGCTCATGGCTGATATCAATAAGAGCGACTACGTTTGAGGCATATTTTAGGCAATCTAGAGTGGGAGAATCATGTCAGATAAACAGACAAGACAGATCAAATAGTATGCCTCGCTATGCTCTCTTGTTAAATAGAATATCAACTAGTGTGTGTGCCTTAGTAAAATAATGAACTGCAAAAACACTAGGATTTTTTTAAATGGCTTTGGGAGATAAGAATTTTAAGCTGATGCGTAGTAAGTGAAAAGGGCTATTTAATTACCCATTCCATTATAATTCGATGATAAAAAATCCATAATCGAAAGAACTTCGAATTTCTACCTTGAAATTGGTTTCAAACTAACATCTAGCATAAAATACGATCTCATTCACTTGTGCATCCAATTAGTTTCTAAGTAAGTACTAACTGGGTCGATTCGTATTGTTTAATTGGCCCAAGGTGTCTTGTTGTGCTTCCACAAAATGGTTTCAGTCACTTATTGATGTCCAAATACAACCCATAACACGTCAAACGGAAGTTGAGAGTGGAAAGCAAATGGATACAGAGATAAAGGCATGAAATAACGAAGAGATTATTAAGGGTATCGCACTTCAGTCTAATGAATGAGGAGGGGGGGGGGGTGTACTTTATCTTTTAGAACAAATATAGACTCCAGCCTGAAATACCCTTAAATCCTCGATCGTTGTTTGCGTCCCAACATCCCTAAAATTGTTAAGTCACACTGATATTGGCCCAAAACAGCAGATAGGGAAATAAAAGCAAAACTCTTCCAAAGATGGTTTTAACCTATCAATATCCATAAAAAATTTCGGCAGTCAACGAAATAACACGCCTAACATACTTCGACTTCCTTAATCTGATCGAATATTTCTTCTAGAACAGCCTCAGGCTGTTGAGCCACTCTCCTTCGAAGAGACGCTGATAGAGGTTGAGGATGTTCCACTGTTGCTTCGGGTTGAAAATGATCCACATAATCTTCCCACCATCGAGGCATATTTATCTCCATATAACTTTCACCACTTTGAAGTTTGGCCAGTAGTTCCAACCAATCCTCTGCCTTGCTATTGAGACCCCTCTAAAACCGCACAAAAGTGCAAACGTTAAAAAAACGATGAGTATCTTCATGGCTATAAGCTTTTCCAACGAACCTCAATATCCTGGGTTACTTTCATAAGACCATCCGCCTCATTCCTCATAGAATTCAGTTGTTCCAACAATTGCTTGAATGCATCCGTTCGGACACACAATTCTCCGATTTTATCTTTCCGCCTTCGCCGCTTCACTTCTCTTGTGCTTTCAAGATGTTGACCTTCAGAAATCAACGACTTGAGATCACGCTCCACGAAAACAGAGACCTCAGATGTGAAGCTTTTGCAATTCTTGATGAGGAATTCCGTTGCGTTAGGACCATCCGGATTGGCATTATTGAGGGCAGTGAGTTTGACAGAGGCGCCAAGTAACCACTGGTCCGCCGCGTTCACTTTGTTCGAATAAGTAAAAAGAGCCTCCCAGGAATGCTTAAGACGATCTCGTTGAGTCTAGAAATCAATAAGCATTCATAACCAGAAGCGGTCAGACTTGAATTGAACTCTCTGATTACCTTGTGATTTAATATACATCCTAAGCAGTCCACTAGTAGTCTTCTAGTGATTTGAAAGGTAGTTAACAATTATTGAAAGAGTGTTTTAAGACGTTTATAAATATGAAATTTCTCCGATGAGAAACTTATTTTGATCCAGCATTGTGTATCTACTACTATCGAATTCATGAACTATAATTTGTGAAAGATGAGCGTCTTATCTAACTTATTTTGATGCATCTGTTTTACTGTTAAAGGCCAAAATGGCTAATTAAACACATTTGGATTTACCATATCGTTTATTAATTTCCAATATTTGATAAATAACTTAGACATTTCAATTAGATGAAATCTAATTGGAAGAGGAATCGATTCGCCCTCACAGTATATCTTGTATTTGTCAAGGTTGCATTAAAACCAATACCTTTGCATAGTAAATAGACCAAATGTTTCTGGTCTTAATTCCCCTAGTACGATGCTTTGTTACGTGACCTCTTTCAAAGTTAAGAAATACATCAAGATAAAAAAATCAAAACTAACCCGAACGTCCTCAGATAAGGTCTTCTTCCGATGCGCGATTTCACTTGATTTCCGATAAAGATTCGGATCAAGCATCTCCGATTCAGGCCCATTCATATGGCTTCTGAGCTCGGTGAAATCAGGTTTCATAGAGACAAGCGAAGAAAGCATCTCCTATTCAAAAAATTGATATTTAAAAAATAAAAAAATTCTACCTGAAGTTTATCGATTGCTTCTCTTCTCTTTGTAAGTATATCTGCTGGAGATGACGAGGCAACCCCTTTTACATCAAGCAAGATACGTTTATACGCCTCCTTTTTTGAGTTCAGTTCTTCTTCAAGTTTCTTCGTTAACGACGACCAGGCTCCCCAGGTTTCAAGACGTGAAGAAACAAACACAGAAGCCGCTTGCAATTTATGAATCGAAACTTCCAAGAAGGTGGAAATTTCACCAAGACGTCGAGTAAAGTCGTCTCGGACTGAAGAACTGACAAAAGCTTTTACACGCTCGAAATGACTTTGCAGAGTTTCCATCTCCTCAGAGTTCTTAAAGCTGTCCAATTCTTTCATCATTTTCTGTGGAAATTAGAAGAAGTATTAATAAAAATAAGTCCTACCTTAATCGAAATCTGCTTCGACACCAAATCCGTGTGACCCAGAAGGCGATTCTCAACCCAGCATTCTTCCAAAAGTGATTTAAAGTCATCAATCTTCGCTAAAACTTTCGTCATAGTGCTCTCAAGACTTGAAACCTCCATTGCTTCAATTGAATGCAGCTCAACTTGGGCTTGGACTGAGTTTACGAGGGTGGTGTAGCGAGTATAAAGTTGCTTAGCCTTCTCGGCAGCTTGGAATTGAGGAATTCGGCTATTTATTTGGTCAGCATTAGTTAAATGACGCTCAATCAAAGGGTATTTCTTTTTAATTTGAGCCAGATGGGACTAAACCAAAGAAGGTCGAAACAATTATCCAATTTCCAAATATTAAGTAGCATGAATGAATAAAGCAAACCTGCATTTCCGAGAGAATTCGTTTTCTTTCATCAATCGGCTTGTCAGCATTGAATGGTGGGCGAATAGAAGTCTGTTCCATTTCCATTAACCAGTCGCTTAATTCCTCCTCACTTCTTGAGAATATCTTCCATGCCTCAGTGACACTTTCTAATAGCTCTATCGATTGTTTGGAAACCCTCTCCAAGTTATTTTGCTCATCTCTTAATTCCTCATTGCGTACAGTAATTGCATCAGAAAGACAAGAGTTCGACTGTTCAATGGTGTTAGAAATGAGTCTATCAGCCGAAGCAATCATTGTGTCCAGTAGCTGACGACCGTCAATAACCAACTCTTCATTAATTCCACATAAAACAGCTAAACGACGTTCAGCATCATAAGCTGAAATAAGGGCTTCTAGAATGACATTAGAAGGGTCAGCTATTTCCAATGCTGATTCTGGAATTGTCATAGATCTACTAATCACCTGAACATATCTTTCGAGAGTCATTCTTTGACGTATAGAGACTAATTCACTCGCTTCTCTATAAGCATTTAGATTCTTGGTTCTCTCCTCTAATTCACTCAAATAATTTGATAGACGCACTTTGAAAGCATAGAGTCGAGAAGCAATTTGGGAGTCGTCTTCAACTGTCTCCCTATTGGTACACTCGGATTGAAGAGCCAAAAGTTCAGCAATCCCATTTCCAATGGACAGTTCATAGAAAGTCATAAGAGAATTAAAGGAGGCGTTCTTTAAATTCGTGTGAGTAGGTGAGTAGATAGAGGATATGACAGCCTGTAGTTTTTGTTCTGCACCCTCAAGCCACGAAGATAGCGAATCAATGCTTAATTGTTTAGCTCGTTTTGCAGCCACCTGCTTCTCTACTGTTTCAATTTTTTGAGCTATTGTACTTTTAAGTGACTCATAACTAGCCATCAAGTCTTGAGCTAAGGCAGGGTCGGTGGCATTTGAGCCTAGAGCCTCGGATTGAACGGTCAGAGCCAATCGTTGGCAGGCTTCAAGTAGCACGTCACCAATTTCCAGCGACTTGAAAATTCGCTTCAATTGGGCAAGAACATCTGTCAGTTTCCCTTCTTGACAGGCATGCCCAAATTTGCTTCGTATTTCTTTCTCCCAGTTAGTATAGGCATTACGAGACTCTTGGAGGGTTTCAATATTCTTCACTTTTATCGTGTTTAGCTCTATCTGCCTTTTAACAAGCATTGTGAGTCCAACAAATCGCCGTGAAAGGGCACTAACCTTTTGTGCCGCGAACCGAGTCACTTCAGTGGAGCCCCTTTCCTCCAAAAGACGATTTGATCGAGATAAAAGAACATCAAGATGAGCCTGCTTCTCCCCTATTTGTCCTGCTTTTTCATGACTCTGAGCCAGCAGGGATAGAACATGCGCTGACCGAATGGTTATGTAGCTTGAAGGAGTCGAATAAAGTTGTACATCTCTCGTTGAATCATTATCATCTGTGTCTTTGGATACTTCATCCTCTGCAGAAGTGACCCAGCTCTGTAGATTAGCGAATAACTCGGCATAAGCAGTAAGAAAGAGCAATAGTGATAGGAGTTCATCTTTCTGTTTAGTAGCTTGCATGGAAAGATCTTGAAAGTCTTTATCGAGACTTTCAATAAGACTCTCTCGAGTGTGAACTTTTGACGGAGCTCGATCTTGAAGAATTGATATGCCTAACGACTTGGCGATGTTGATGATATGGTCTGCATTAGATAAGCACTCCGAGAGTAAGCGTCCTCCGTTGGTACTTACCTCCATACAAAATTGATGCATGTCATTTGAGCGTTTGGAAATGCGATCAACCAGATCTTGGATATTACCACACTCTGCAACGGAGGTATCACTGTGCAAATTGAAAAATATTTCTCTCTGTTGTTTTAACCAAAAGCTCATTTCTCGCGTTTGCTTAATAAATTCTTTCCCTCCCTTTGCCAATTTTTCGCATCCAGATGAGATCTTTGCATGGCGTTCTTTAAGTGAGTTAAAAAGTGTCCAGAGCTCAGCAATCCTATTGACAGCATCATTAACTTCGGCCTGATCAAAACCACAAGCTTTCAACTGATTTTTCACTGTCTGTATACGTTCACTTAATGGATTTAAATGAGCAGTCCTTGAATCATCCAGATTGTGTTGGAATCCCTCCAATTTCCGAAGTCTTTCATCAATTCCTTCAATAGACAAAGGTGGTGATGGTATAGAGAACGGTCGAGAACAAAGATCAGTAAGTTGGGTTTCTTGTCGCTCCAACATTTCTAAACAGTAGTCAGCAGACTTTCGTAATTCCTCTTTAGCCAGAATTGTACTTTTCAGTTCATTCTGTCCATCAGAAACTGATTTTAACAGCGTGTTGTATCGATCAGTGATCCAGCTCATAGCTATGTTGACCACATTTAAGTTAGGACGAAGAGATCGGAGTGAGAAACTGCTAGAGAGGACACGATCAAACATCGGGGCACCAGCTTTTCTCAAAGTCTCTTCAAGGTCACGCAAAGAATTCGTACGCTCTGTTACAGTCTCAACAGCTGATAGAGCCTTGAAGTCGTTTTCGCATGCGTTCACCCACTGCAAGAGACCTCGGAAGAGCATAATGAATCCATCCCATTTCGAGATCTCTTCCGTGATTTCCTTATTAAGTTTTTCATACTGTCTCTCAGTATCCTCGAAGATGGCCTTTTGACTTTCCATACGAGTGAGCAGCATTCCAACCGGTTGTTTCCGGTGGGAAGAATAGGTTTTAATGATATCAGAAAGACTAGAAAGGATACTATTAGCATTACGTGTGTATTCAGTAGAAGCCGACTGTAGATCATCTTTTGCAGCTCTAATGAAGGCAATATAAGATGAGAATTGTGAAACCGCCTCCTCGGTAGAGCTCGTACCAAGAAAGGTTGGAGCCTTATTAACATACGAAGGCACTAGTGAGCATTTTGTCTTATATGTTAAATGAAGATTTGAAATGTCTTTCTGAAGTTGTTCTATTTTCTTCAAATTCTGAACTTCACTATATATTGTAGACTTAAGTTGCTCTACTCGCTGTTTGAGGACTTTGAATTCATTGAGTAGTATATCACACATTCCAACATAATCTTTCCATTCTGAGTCGTTAGTCGGGAGATTTTGATCGAATTTCCCTACTGACGCGAAAATCGAGTTCGCATTGTTCAGGCGGCTCAAAAGAGAGGTCAATTTCCCGATCAGAGGCTCAGAATTGTCCAAGAAGTCATCCGAAACACGTCGAGATTCTGATTCAAGTTGAACGAACGAGTCAACACACAAACCGAGCTCTTCAATCGCCTTAGTCATATGTGAATGTAGCTCAGCCATAAAGGCTTCACAAGCTTCGTCCGTCTTTTTCACTTCTTTGATTTGCTCTAAAAGATTACTTAGACGCTGTTTTAAGGCGCTGTGATCTTGAAACGAGGTTTCATCTACAAGCAAGTTCTTGCTGAGTACGTCTTGAATAGCCCGCTGTCTTTCTGTGAGCTCTAGCTGAAATTTAGAGAGCTTTTCACTATGAGTCATTAGAGATTGTTTCTGCTCGTTCATGTATTCTTGAAGAAAATTTGAAAGCTTGACAAAGGCGAATGTCAATTCTGAACAGGGTCTTGAAGCAAGAGACATAGATTTCGGAAACGAAGTGTTGAGCACAAGCCGTCCAGAAGTTGTAAGTTTGATCAAAGTCTCTTCAGCACCAGAGAGTGTAGAGAAGTAGTCAGACAATTCAGTTACCAATTTAGTATTTATTTCAAGACGTTCTCTTAACTGCTTTACAAGTGATCTGCCTGTGTTTTGAATAGACATGAATCTGCCTTGGCAGGTTGCTAGACTTCCCTGCAGCTCAAGAATTGTAGCATTGCTTGTATGAGGAGTTAGAGACGTAGACCTTTCTTTCATCAACTTTAGAGCGTCTCCCAAGTTTTGGTGTTCACTCATGTTCATTTCGCACCTCCTTATCAAATCATTAACGATAATAAGGGAGTTACAGGATGCACTCTCCTTAGAAAGGGCTTCTATTTGATTTCCGAAATCGGAAACTTCATTGCCGAGAACTTTGCAACCCATTAAGAGTTGTTCGAATTCGTTCGCTAATTTCCTCCATGCATTGATACGCGTCTGGAGGGTTTTCTTTAGAGACCTCATCCTATTTGACCGCATTAAGATAGTGGAAGACACACTAGAATCTTCTTTAGTGTTAACCTCCTCCAAAAGAGTTTTTAATTTTACGTGGCATTCAGAGAGCTGCAAAAACTTAGTTCTAAGGGCTTGAATTTCTTCAAAAAGACCAGTTTTAGCTGTTTCTAATTCTTCAGGGCCATCTAATGCATCGAGAGCGAGGGAAAGTAGGTTCGCTTTGGACAGAAAGCCTGGAAGATCTTCAGAATAAGGCACTTCAAATTGAGTCATAGACTCTAAAACGCGTCGATGACAGGAATCGAACTCAGTAGTTATAGCATCAAACTTCTCCCACGTCTCATTAATTTTAAAGTACTGAGAATGTGAGTCAATTATCTTTGAAAGAAGTTTATTAAAATCGATGACGTGCTCATTAGTAGCCGATAGAAGAGCTTGTTTTAGGTCAGGAGGTGAGGTGGCCATACATTTAACGCAGATTCTCTTAAGATCCTCAATTCGTTTTTCTCCCTTTTGACGAATCGCTTCAATATCCTAAAGATAAAGAGACGGCAATGAATGACTAAAACGCTTTAAATATAAATTTAATTCAGTGCACGGCACTACGTCAATTCAACTAAACTTCCTACTAAGTCACAACAGGATGCATGCTTGTTACAAGTTGAACTAACTTACCAAATATTTCTGTCATTAAAAGGATACAAAGGGATATTGATAGAGTGATGTACTAAAGTTACTTAGACATAGCTTTATCCGCTTACTTTTAGCCAATCCAATCTGGCCATCAGGGCATATCGGTCACCAGAAAAGTCCGAAGCATTCTGCAAAGACCGCTTGAGTTCATCCCGCCAAGTCTGAAAGGCACTGAACATTGAATTGAGATTATGCTGAGAAGAGAGCATCTCTTTCGACTGTTCTGACAACTCCTTTGCATGCGACTGCATTCCAGAGTACTTGTCCATCAAAACATTAGTTTCGGTGGTGATTTGAGAAACCTTGTCCTCCTTTAGCGCGACAAGTTCTTGCAACCGTTCCTGAAGTGCTTCAAAATCATGGCTCTTCGTCTAAAATGGAAGGATGCAATGACGAAAAAGGTCATAAATGAAAATCTGCCTTTTGGGAGTTTTGGAGCATCTGACAACGTAATTAGAGTTTTTATCAAAATATTTAATGGAACGTTTCAGCTTCGACTATAATGCCTCCATTCAATTAGGACGCTCGCTACCACAAGATCAAATCAAACGTCACGCAAGTCAACTTCTCTTTGAAAGGGCCCGAAGCGAGGAAATTTTGAAAGAAGCAATATAATCTGGTTCTTTTTTGATGAGAAAAACTTGTGCCAAGATGAAAAATGCATGCATAGCTCACATGTAGCCACAAAGATATTTCATGGGACGTGCAGACTAAATTTCTAAAAACTGTCACGGTTTTCGGATGTTTACTTCTTTGACGAGAGTGATCGTGATGCTTAGCTCCGTGTCTTCAAGAGGGGTTTACGTTGAATTAAGATGCTTACTTGGAATTTCTAACTATGACCAATGATAAAGAACGAGGTTACCCAGTAATAAGCCATATGTATGGCAGCAGAAGGATTCGGGTATCCCCCCCCCTCTCCCGCACCTCAGAGGAAAGCCAGAAATTATGGGATAAGTCCTATCACTACACCAGTCCCAATGTTTGGCTTCCAAACTCACATTCCCCATCATATCTCAAACCGATAGATTATTTCGTATGCATAGGACTCCATGGAGGTAGATACTATCCGCTGTGTCATTACGACAAAAGCTCCATTTATGGAGAAAATTAAAGCGGTTTTCGAGTAAAGCACTATGATAATAGGATATTTTATTTGCCATAAGCCTTTTATTTACCTATTCTCTAACAAAACCATCAAATTTACTCCCACAAGAGTCAAGATAGCCAACCTTTTAGGTATCTACGTCAATGTGAATTTGTTCAGGTACCCCCCCCCACACTCCTCCTACAGTTCTTTCTGCTCCCCACGCACTAATACCTATTTGGTTTTTTTTCATGTTCCTTATCCCTCAATTCCTCTTCACTTGCCAAGACGCAACTCGAGATATGTGCGGGCTTATTGTTTAGAGGAGTATTAGTAACGAATATTGACTAGGCGCAGATCTCTTTGCATTTTCATTAGCTAATGCGACTTGAGGTCCTCTTAGGCATTTCCCAATACTTTTAAAATGGTGCCAGTGTACATTTGAGGGCATAAGAATTCAAGGATCAGGCCGGCCATTGACCTTAATCCGATTCGTACGTATCGTGCACATATCAATGTGAGTGAATCATACGCAGTTTATCCTGTGATCAATGCACCCCCATAGCTCAGCTAGGCTATGTCGAATTACTATTCCAAATTGGAATAATCCCTAAAAACGGGATACTACCGTTCCTATCTAAAAACAAACAAAAGGTTCGACAATTATGGCAAAAGGACGAGATAAAGTCATACCAGCCTCGACTAATAAACCTACATTCAATTGATTGATGAGACTACATGTCTCTGAAACGAGCTTCTCCTTCCGCTTGAGACAAATGGCCATATCTTCCAAAGCAGATTCCGACAGAGATGGGAAAGACTCGCACTTTTTCAACTCCTCCGCGAAAGAAACAACTGCATTGTTTGAAATGCTATTGAATTCAGAATTAACGATGTTAAGAGTGCCTTCTTTTTCTTTCACCCAATTTGCAAGAGCATTTAGTCGGCTTAAGAATTCATCAATGGCCTCTGAATCACTCTGATACTTTTGTTGAACGTTCTGGACTTCAGCTTTAATTGATCGCCAGACAACATTCAGATGAGAAAGAAGATCCGCTGAGAGCAAACACGCAGCAGATAATGGGCAGATTTGCTCCTTCACGCCAGCACACTCAGTCAAAAGTTGATCGATAACTCCGCTAAGAGAGGAGATATACTCTTCACCTTGTTCAATTGTTGCTGCTTCTGATTCCTGGCTGAGAAAATTCTGAATTGAAAGATCGGACTTAGAAGCTTGCTCCTGAACCACCAGGACCCAGGTATTAAAAACGCTGATCTGTTGGCAAACTCGGTTAAGAGTGTTAGTTCCTTCAATATTTTGCTGGAGAAATTTCTAAAATTTAGAAAGTTGAGAGGAAAATTAATCACAACTGTTCTATCACAACTATTAAACAAAGGTTTATTCATACCCTTGCAGTTTCGGCAGCATTATCAAAGCGCTCGCGAAATGTTTGCGCATTGGCGCTAGTGTCAGATTGGATTTTAGATATTCTGAACTCATATTCATCAAATTCAGCCTTCTTATCGGCGATTTCTTCATTCAAATTCTACAAAGTAAAAAACAATGACAAAGTAGAAATACCACCACCCATCATATAACAAACACAAAAGTACTAAACAAATCTTCTCAGAAGTAAATACAGAAAAAAGATAAATATTCGTAAAATTAGAGAAATCAGTTACCTGCCAAAACTTAACAACCTCTTGTTGCTTTTCAGCAATTGTGTCCAGAGTTACAGCTTCTTCAGAATATGCACGTAGGTTATGACCCCGACGAGACAGAGTTGGTCTAAAGTTCTCGATAAAAGAGGCATCTTCACCCAGTGCTCGCTTCTCCACTTCTCTCAACCAATTCGTCATCCAGATTGCTGCATTCGATGCTTCTTCGCACCACAATAATTGCTCTTGTATTGCGCTTTGAATATTTGCCATATCGGACAACAGCTTCTTCCAATCAGAATGAAGTGCTGCAGCATCTAAGTCCTCATCTTGTGAAACGAAATTTGGCGTTATTTTGCATCGATAGCACTCCTGAGAGAGCACTTTCAAGTATTCAGCATAACATGTAGTCATTTCCTTCTCAGCTTCTAAGTTAGTAATAAACCTATGTTCATTCGACTTATGCGCCTCCATCAAAATCTAAAAATGTTAAAATAGAAGTATAAATATTTTCAAGATTATCAAAGTCAACTGATGATTCACTGAGCCTACATTTATGCGTCCATGCCTCATTCGAAGATTATTAGCTTTCTGATGAATGGAGATGGTTTGAGGCGAAGAAGAAGACGACAAATGCTCAATCGTCAGGCTTCGGCACACTTCCAATTGCTTTGATGTTTCCGAAATCCAGTCCTGGCACGCCTTGCGAGCTCGACGTTGACGCTTGGCAGTATTTGAAAACTTATCCGCCATTTCGTAAAGATTCTACAAGTCACAAAGTAAGGTTAGGGAGGGGAGGGGG